GCACTTTTCTGTAAAAACATCCTTCATGTGCAGAGAAAAATTCCAAACAAAATGTGCAGGGCAGAATAAGGCCAATACACACGGCTGATCAACATACAGAAAACAGCAATACAATAATAGCTACATCTAAAAAGCAGTGAACAAACACAAGAGAAACAGACCCTGATGACGCACAGGCTCAGTAACCACAGTCTAGCCATGGTGGCACAGACAGACCTGGCTGTCAAGGGAGGATAGCCTATGTTCTTACTGCCAGCAGGGAGAAAAAGGAACAGAGATGCACTTTCTGCTGCACTGTGAAAAATACTCTGGAATCAGAGTGAAAAATGTGATTACCATGCAAAATAATATGGGATCCTTAAAATAACAAGCCTTATCCTAGAATTCCCACACCAACCAGAATCAGAGCAGCTTCCAATCCTTCTAGGAGAGGGGGAGGGAACTCATTGAGCTGGTAGCCCAGTATGTGATCTCCTGTTATAGCCTGAAGAACAATGAGCCTGTCTCTCAATAATGTTCTATTTGTTGTATGCATATGTAAATGTGCCATGATGTGTTTGTATTGGAAATGTCTGCAGATGTTGCGTTAATTATATACACTTTGGCAACACTGCAATTCATTGGTCATGCCAATAAAATTCATTGAATTGAATTGAATAGTGTGTATTTCCTTTTCAGAGTCCTGTAACATTCACATTTGTGTTGGGTTTACGTGTGTGTCCCAGTGGAAAAGGCAGTGCTGTTTGGCTTGTGCTGTGATTTGATTGACTTTGATTAATGCTGTCTTGAGGTTGGTACTGAAGTGTCAGTGAGCATCATTAGGACCAGCTGGCAAAGGGGGTTTTCTCTGGGCTTAGTTCTTGTCTCAGCGGGCTTTCTGGAGTTCTGGTAGGATTCTGGTTACTGTTTTGGCCTAATTCAGCCCTTGTTAGGTATTCTCTGCTAAATAAAGAATATTTTTACTGAACAGTTTGTTTACATGTTGTTTACACCAACACTCAAAATATGCCAATTGTCTTGCCTTAGCTATAAGAAGTACTGATAAGGTAGGGTGTAATTAACTTAATTAGTTAAAGTTTCAGTAAAGGATTGTTGTGTTTAGAATGTACATTTACAGTTGTGTACAAATGTTTAGAGATCCCTGGCTAAATTATATTTCAATGAAACTCTAAGTGAACAGAAGGTAGCACAACCTCTAAATGGTACAAAGTTAAACCCAACATATTTCTGCAAGTTGTATTGCAAAATTAATATTTCTTTTCTGATTTGAACAGATTGAAAAAATAAAAAAGTTGATGTGATGTGCAAATGTTTTATTGCCATTCATGACTATTTTTTTAAGTTATGTTTTTCAAAGGCTACAAAAGGCTACAAAACTTGTTTGACTTGTAAAGCCTTAAATTAAGTCAGGTGAAGACATTTGCAGTATTGAACAAATGACCCATTTAATCTCTCAGATTGTAATGCCTATTTTTAACAACTGTAAGATCTTCAAGCAGCTGTCTGAGGACTTGAAAATTAAGATAATGCTCAGTTACAAAGCAGGGGGAGGCCAGCTTGCAATTTCAACTGTCAGAAAAATCATTAAGAAATGGAAGTTAAAGGGAACTGTTGAAGTCAAGGCAAGATCTGGAAGACCCAGAAAAATAATTTATAGAACTGCAGAAAAACTGTTCAGATCTGCAAAGCCGAACCCACAGATCACTGCAAAGGACCTGCAAAGTTCTGTGGACTGTTGAAATTAAAATGGAATTTTGGTCACAACCACAGAAGATACATTTAGAGAAAAGAACACATTACCAACGATTAAGCACTGCTTGGATCTATTATGCTTTAGCGTTGTGTGAATTTTGTGAAAGCTTAAGGTTTTGGAATGGCCTTCATAGTCCCCGGGACTACTGTAAGAATATTTCTGAGCTAGAAAATTTCTGTGAGGAAGAGTGGGAAAAAAATCCAAAAGAAAGAATAGAAAGACTCTTAGCTGACTTCAAGAAATGTTTGAAGGCTGTGATTTTTGTGAGTGGGGGGGATTAGAAAATACTGACCAATTTTTTGGGTGCCCAAACGTTTGCACAAGCCATATTCACTGTTTTATTGTTTTCAATATCTACAGAAAGTAAATATTGTAAATCAATACTAATTGTGCATTTAAATTTGAAGAAACATGTCATGTTTACATTTGTGCCACTTGACTCAACTTCTTTTAGAGATTTGCTGAAACATAAAATTTTACCAGGGGTGCCTACACTTTTGCTGTAATAACATCTGGCCTGGGGTAGTGGGTAGAGTCAGGTTTAAAGTTAGAGTTAGATATAGGTTTATGCTTGAAATAGTGTTACATTTTGGTTACAACTATTGCTAGGTGTAAGTTGAGGGTATAGATTGTATTTCAGTCGTAAGTTAATATTAAGTCAGAGGTTAAGGGTTAACGCTAGAGTTAGGCTTAATTTAAGACTAGAGGTAGGATTAAATACTGTACAGAATATCATTTTTTGAACTGATTTTATCCAGTACAGCGTCTCCAGGGAGCCAGAACCTATCATGGCAAGTAACAGCCATAAGGCAGAGTACACCCTGGACAGAACCAGTCCATCACTGGGCACACACTAACACAGGCAGCACACACTTACACCAGAGCCGACTTTCCCACAAGCCAATTAACTTACCAGAATGTTTTTGGATCATGGGAGGAAACCAAAACACCCAGAGGAAATGGGCCCGAAAACGTAGATGACATACAAAATCCACACAGTTAGCATCTCAGTAATTGAACCGAGGGCCCCAGTGCTGCAAGAATGCAATGCTTACCACCGCATCACTGTACTGGTCAGTAGGGTTACAGCTCAAACATAATTCAGGATTACTGGGTAGTAGACTTCAGTTAATCGGCTGACCTTGAATTCAGAGTTGGTCTAATTTTTAGACATGTTAAATAGTCAATGAACCACAGGAAGGTTTTTGGACAGATTTTTAGTGGGTGTATCATGGAGATATCACGTGATTTAGCTCTTAGTCAAAGCTGTTACTTGCTTTTTCTTTCTCATGTAATGTTTTATTCCAATCAATACTTTCAAAACATTCAATAAAAAAACTACAATAAGTACTTCTAAGCATGTGTTAATGCCTTTTGGATTAGAAGGATTCTTGAAAACCTTGTCACTACCTCGCTTTTAACACTAATAACTGCACAAAGTTCCTGCTTCAGCTCATTATGAACACCTGACAGAACAACCTGTACTTAACATTTCAATTTTTTCCAGTTTTTCCCTAAATTGCCAACTTTTTAGTCTGAGAGAGTTGTCATAGTTCCCCCTTCAGCAGAATTGCAAATGGATCGAACAGTACTAAATTTATACTACTGTGACCTTGTCATGGAGCTGTTTATCGTCTTAGACATGTTGTCAGATTCTTGGGTTTTCCCATAAGATCAATTTAGGTATTTTAGTCTATGGCTTCTGTTTGTTCAAAAGATGAAGCCTCTATGTTTTTTAAATTACCTTTGCTGTTTAAGGGATCCTTAGTTATTTTTTTCCCACCATTATGTTACGTTTAGAGTTTGTTACAGTTCCTTTTTACAAAAAAGATCATTTAATAAAAATAAATCTCTCAAGCACCCCTTCCCATTGGTTGTTAGTTCTGAAGTCAATTCCTAAACTTCCACTTAAAAAAAAAATTATTTGAACAACATGGACCGCCATTTTACTGTTTTAGCTTAATATCATGATTATTTAAACAGGAAAATGAAATAGAGCCACTTCCAGGTGAAATTAAACAATGCTCAAACCTGGCAGTTCTTGCTCGAAATAATAGCAAGATTATTGGGTTCTTTCACATGAGTGGCTGATTTCGAGGCTGTGGTTAATCATTGTGTTGTAAGCAAGCACTTATGAAGCCTTCAAAACTCTTATTGTTTGTGACCCTTAGACTTTTAGAATTACCTCTTTTATTTTAAAAAATTAACTGATGCTGACTTTATTTCGAAGAACATCATTCTCTTAGTGCTTATGGGCTTCAGATATCTGACTGAATTTTGGTCTTGGTTTTTGTTTTGTTTGTTGAGGAGGGGAGAGGGAGCAGGTATCAGACAAATGTACTGTATATAAGACTTGAGATTTTAGGCTGGGAAACCAGTTCATCCAGAAACATTTCAAATAGATATGAAATATGGAATTAATATTTACAAGTTATTAACAGTTTTGAGATTTAAGTTTTACCTCATGTAGCTTTTTACTATTTTGAAAGCTCTCAAAAAAAGAGAACTATTAGTTTGTAGGTCAGAGAACCTGCGGTTCAGCAACACTGACAGTTTTGTAACACTAGTACACTAACAGTACTGTACAGAAACTGAGTTCAGAATGAAACCTACTTAGAAAGAAACCTGGAATGTTGAAGAAGCCTTTAGACCTTATATATAAATAAATATATGTTTATTTTTAAAAAAGGATCATACAATAATTTAGTGGTGTAATACAGGTTTTATTAAAAACACTGTGAATTTGTAATATATTACAATATATTCCAACTTATCAAGGGCATTTCTTCAATCTGCTGCTTCCACAATAACAATATGTTAAAACAGAGAAACATTTCATGCAGTAAATAAATATTTAATAAAACAGTTTATCTAAGAAACTTTACAAAACTAACATTTTACATAATAGCAATCTGTCTATTTTCAGAATAGGACTCTGTGGTAGAGTTCTTAACTTTCTACTCCATGATGAAGACCATTTAAAATGTTATTTAAGGAATGTCTGCCAATGATAATTGAGCAGACAGGAACAAAACCCCCAAAGTTAATATTTAAGAGAGATACTGTAGCTGTGTAATTACTTTGCATCTAATTTGAAATTTAATTTAATCTATTTATACTTGAACAAATACATTAATAATAAAATTATAACTTTGTTTTAAGATTTTTTTATTTTCAGCATAGAGATCGATCAGTTTTGATTGGCGAGAGTGATGCATTTTTTTTCTAATTTTCTGTTCTCTTTCAGGAGGGATGAGTTTTATCAAACTGCACACTTTTGGACTTGCACGCTACACTTACATGATCCTGTCCAGCCTGCAGCATGCAAATGGAAGCCCAGTTGCCCAGATATATTGTGAGACGGAATATGATGACCCCGACACTCAAGGTGCCATTATTAATTTCAATGTGCTGAACGACAAGGGAGACATCATTGGATATTCCCAGGTATATACAGTAAGACAAAAAAGTGTAGCTAAGTTAAAATAGCTACAGTACTCCATCCTACCTTTTCCGTCTCCCTCAGATTAATCAGTAACATTAATATTGTAATACAGAGTGACAGCCCACAATGAAAATGTCCACATTAAATTGATAGTTATTGTACAAAAATACTGCTAAAGAGCAAAAAATTCAGACAGTCCTTATCTGAACCACACTCCCCAGAAGGGAAGTGACCTTCTGTACTACATGCTGTAATTGGACCAGATAGAAGAAGACTATTAGTTCAGTTACATTTAAAAATCAGGAAGCAAATGCTTGCAGTGGCTCTTGTCCTCTCTGAGAAACACAGCAAAGACTCTGAAGTTGTCCTGTATCAGAGTTTGTCCCTAGATATGAGAGGCTGACAGCCACTTCACAAATACCAAAATTGAATTTTATACAATGCTGATTCTGATTTAACAATAATGAGAGGGGAATTATAAATCCCATGTGCTGCGGACCTATGATGTAAAAAACTGCTGGATATAAAAGAAATATAGTCAATAGTATAGGGCTGAAATATAATGGAGAAGAAACAAAAAAATGTTCAAATGAGAGAGGCTACACTGAAACTAACTGAATGATGTGTTAATAATGAGGCAGAAAACCATCTTTATGATGTTGTTAATGATACATTTTCTGCTACAGAAATCTTACCCTCATTTTTTTACTTTAAATAAAGCAGAAAATATGTGCACAGTGACACATTTTATTGAAAAGGTGAAAAATAGTCATTTTCCCTGTGGGGGCTAAATCGCTGATTTCACAGCAGGTGTGATGAAAGGGCTTAGTCTTAAGTAGCTGCACCTGATTCAGTTATTCACGCAGAAAATGACCTGAGACAAACTCACCTTGGTTTGAATCTCCAATGTAAGCCCTCGGCTTTGTGAGCATGTATACGGCCTATTATTTTAACCTTGAAATAGAAATTTAAAGTACAAACAGTTGTTCAAAAACAAAAAGCTATGTACCAAGAAGCTTTGTGATCTATCACACCATGTGAACATTGTTTTACTTTCTTTTTTTCTTGAATCAAAAAGGTATTTTCACCAATCTTACAAAAGTGTAATAATTACTATTTAATACGCATTTGCATTGTTGGAAACCAAAATCTTTTATTGAAAAAATCATCCTTAAAGACCACCTGTAAATTTCATATTAATAAGAATATACAGTAAATAACCCATCCAATCTTAGGCAATTTTTGTACTTTTCTTATTTATTAATTTTGGTAAGGTGCTGTTATACTGTCGAAAAAACATCAAACAGGAAGTCCACTTTTCATATTATTGCACGTGGAGAGGAATAATTCAGGGTTCACATTCCTCACTAGAGTTTGAGGGAAATCGGCTTCAGATGCTAACGAGCTGATTTTACACTTTAAAAGAGACTAGCTCAGAGAAAAGTGTGTTGAATCCGACAGTGGTTCAAATCAAATAGAATCACATAGAGAAAGCAGTGTACTTTGTTCTACCTAGGTTTTGAAGCAAAACTTTTGCGTGTTGGCAAAAAGTAAACTGTCTATAGGTTGAAAATACTATGTTTTTGTTGAGGTCTATACTGACTACTACAGTATTTCAGGACAAGTACTGTATCTCTGGTTACCTGTCCCTGGCCAAACAGGACCAGCTAGTTCAATTAGGCTTTAAATAAATTGAGAAAGAAACATTGCTGTAGGGATGAAGACCAAACGACATCTTGCTCTCAACGTTAGGTTTGTCAATCTCAGTTGATTAACCACTTTCATGATTTAAAAAAAATATGGTTTAAGGTAAGTAAGTCATCCAGACCATGCTACCCTGATAGGACAAGGTGGTAACAATAGGAAAAAGAAAAGAAAAATAATAAAATATAAAACAAGAAGTCCTTTAAGGAGCTTTTGTTTACATTTAAATAATCAGAGAACCCTTGAGTGTGTGAAGGATAATAATATATTTCATTATTCTGAATGACGCAGTTATTAGCTTATACTGCCTCACGGGTCTCAGCTCTTGGGAAGCCTCCTGTTCATAGTTTACGTGTTCTCCCCTGCATCTGTGTGGGTTTTGTACCAGGCTCTCATTTGCTCTCACCTTCCAAATAGATGCTAGTTAAAAGGGAACTGCAATGCTATTTTTATATTTTGGGGTTAGAAAGAATCAGCGTTGAAGCTGATTTGAGTGCATTTCAAACCACAATAAAAATAAAATGTACACAGTAACTTCTAAAACCACAAATTTGCATCGCAAAATATACTAAATTTCCACGTATGCACATATTCACACATGCCACATTCTGTGATTCAGAACTAGGCAATAAAGGTTGCAGTGACGTGATGCAGACTTATACCATTTTAAACAAGCAGGCTTGTGAATACATCTCTTTTAATCCAATAGAAATATTGCTCTCGACTTTGCGATTTGTCGATCGAATGTCGATTTGCGATAACATGGCATTTACAATACTTTCCCAAAGTTCACAATTATGTGTATAGTTTTAAAATTTGTAAATTTTTTCTATACCATCAGTGAATTTATTCTGATACTATGATATGTTACTATGACAGGAGTTGCTCTTTAAGTTAATTGGTGTTCCTGGTTTGTCCCTGAGTATGTGTATGAGCACCTGTGATGCATTGGCATTCCAGATTACCTCTCCTTGAGCCTTGTGCTTACAGCATGGCTGGCGGGTTGTCATCATCCTTACCAGGTCTAAGTGGCTTTTTCACAATGATTGGATGGATTTCTGAATGATTATAAGCGCCTATTTTAAAACAAATTGAGTAGGTTTCTATGTCCTTTAGAAAGTGAGCAGAATGCGATTTGCTGCCAGTGCATAGCTTATTTAACCTGGCATATTTATTTGATTTTGGGGGGAATCATGATAGAAAATTGTTATGTGACGCCTACATGTGTAGAGATGTGAGAATATTTTATTTTTATGAACTCATTAAACGCTTCATGTGTTTTAACAAATGGCATCCTGCTTTCGATCCCTGTCTGTAGTGCTGAACTGCAGCAGAGATGGGAGATGGCAGTCAGAGTGCTTTACTGTAATTGGAGGAGTAGAGGGAGTGCATCTGTTAGACTTGTTGGGCAATAAATCACTTCTCAGGCAGGCAAGATTGGAAAACCTAAATCCCTGCAGCTAAAACTCTGTCACTCAAAATATAGAATACAGATTTCTATAACGTATTGTTGTGTGCACTGACCAAATATAGTGGCCCTTCAAATTTTAGGTTTTCATTATAGTTAACTGATTTTGACAAAAAAATAGCATTTAAAATCTCTCACCATCCTGTGTATCTTTAAAAAACCAGCAATATGCGAAAAGACAATTCCTAATGCAAGAAATTGTAAAGGGTTAATAAAGTGATGTTAATATAGCTGCTGTAAATACATGTAGTATTTAATAACATAGTAAAATTACACCTGAAAAAGACTCCACAGCTGAAACATTTTGTTTTCTTTCTTCTCTTTTCAGCATGGAATAAACCTATTACTTGTTCCATAGTATAATTATGTTTCAAAATGGCTTTTTAAACTACAATACTTTCAATTAAAAAAAGAAATGGGTGACAGTGCTCATTTTAAGAAATATGTGTACATTCCACCAATCACTTCCCAGATTGTCTCTGGTAAGGTGATTTAATCCTTTTGGTCAATTAGGGTTATATAAGGTATCTCACTAAAGAATCAGATTGAAAAACACACTGAATAATCATTATAGAAAATTGTTAGACAACTTCTAAAAAATGTTTTAAAAATTGTTAAAAGTGTATAAAAATGAATAAACAATGTGGCAGGATTTGTGCATAAAACAGAATTTAATAGTTCCTTGAATGTTTTGGAACTGTGCCATGATGAAAATATTCAAAAGGTGTTTATTACTAGGTTGATTTTGTACAGTATGTGTAATTCTGGCTTCCTCTGTAGACCTCAAGGCAATCGGTTTTGAGAAATCTTTTAAGAAGCCATATTTACTGAACTATTGAATATGATAAATTACATTTTAAGCAGAAATAATGTCAGATAATCAGTCAAAACATGAAAGACATGAGAGACATGAAAGAAATATAAGAACAGATGATTTCCACTCCTTTTACATGATGTATAGTAGTGAATGCTAATAGAGAGTATCATATGGCAAATGTAACAGTGGGAGAAAGGATTCTAAACATTTGTTTTTACTGGCCTTATAATAGTTATCCCCACAATCTTTTTAGAATTCTTCATTTTGATTATTTGTATGAAGTTTCAGGTGTTTTTATATACACTGTAGCTTTACTGCTGAATAGAACAAGTTATTTGAGCCTTATTACAAAACTATTGTTCTTCCTTTCTTGAACAATTAAGTATACTTTCCTGTTGATTATACCTTATAAAACTTAATACTATAATACATTAAGGTTACAAAGAACCTAAAAAGCATGGCCACTTGCATTTATTTTCCCACTATCAGTAAACCCACTGTTTCTCACTTACAATATATTATGAACTGAACACTGGAAATTCACATCTCTTCTTCCAAGCTTTGTTATCCTTAATGTTAGATTCCTGGACATTGAGTACCATTCTTCCTGTCTTGAAACAGCAAGTAAGGATGTCTTGGATGTTTAGTTCCATTTAGAATAGAAAAAGCATGAGCAATTAATGTATTATATTGGCTGTGTCGTTTGCTTAATTGAAAGAAGTGTTTATCTAAACAGAAAAAGAGAACAAAAATGTCAGACATATTTTTCAACTTTCATCCATAACACTAAGGTCTGTAATATCATCCAGATTAAATAACTGCTTATAGTACTTTTCCTCTCCAGTTACTAAGAATTAATGTTCCGCTGTACAGCTATTAAATTCATCCCAGATAATTCTTAATGTACTACAGCTTAATGTCAGCTCATCTTTTTCCTTGGCTGTAGCTTTCTGAGTGAGTGAAGCAGGTAACAATTTATAGCTGTGTTTGTGTGGCTGTTATGCAGTACTTTC